TTAGAGAGAGGGGAAGGGAGGGACAGAGAGAGAGAGAAAAAAAAACATTAATATTAGAGAGAAACATCAATCATTGCCTCTCATACATGCCCTGACTGGGGACCAAACCTGCAACCTAGACATGTGCCCTAACCGGCACCTTTCAACAACCTTTCGCTTTGCAGATGATGACCAACCCACTGAGCCACACAGGTCAGGGCAAAAATATTTATAATTTTTATTGTTCTTTTAGAGTTAGAGGCATGTATTTTCATTAGGGAACATTCATTATTCTCCATTCCTTCATTTTCTTCCTCACCTGACCACCCAACCATTTCTCTCTGTGTATATTAACATATTTATTTTTCCCAATGTATGTGTAATTCCTTCAAGAGAAAATGGCATTCAAGTGATTTGGCATGCAGACATTAAAGAGAAGAAAGAAATCCACAGAAATGTATTTAAAAGACAGAGGTGTCTTGTTAAATGTGATGGGAAGATGGAACAGTAGCAGCTGCCTTCTGGCTGCATAATCACTCTCTTGATAAGTTCTCACATGTTGAAGAAGTGTTGTATCAGTTTTACAAAAAGAGCTTGCTGGCATGAGGTAATGGCTGGTTGTTGCTTATGGGTAGACATGAATCTCTAAAACTAACAGTACTCCTAGGACTATGCCTATTAGAACTGGTAGGGGCATCAAAGATTATTAGTCTAGTTTCCTAATTTTTCAAATGAGGAAGAAAGCATAGTTCAGAGAGGTTAAGTGGATCATCTAAGATCAGGTATACTGCATCAGATCTGGAACCCTGATTTCCTGGTTCTGTAGCCCAGTATTCTGTCCATTTGTGTTTTGTGGATATCTGTGAATTTGGCTGTTCATCTGTGACCTCACTCCATGGTCCTCTTGATCAGTTGATTGTTCTAGGCTTAAATCCTGACCAGAGCCAATCCAGTCAGGTTTCCCTATCTTCCTGAGTCTGAGTAATGGCCCCTGAGAATGTTAAAACTAATGAAGAGAGGAAGTCTCTCTGATGGCTTAAGTTGACCAGTGTACAGTTGTGGAGCTGTTGTTGGGCATCACCGTCCATAGTAGAGAAACCTGTTTCTAGCTATTCCCGAAACCTGTTACATCCGTACTCTTTCAGAAGTTTGAATTGTTTTTCTCTTGGATTTTTTGAGCCAACAATCATCCTTTTTTACTTAAAATCATTGTAATTGGGATTCTGGCACTAGCAATAAAAATAATATAGATTAATACTCCTGTTAACTTCTTTATTTTAATACTTATAGTGATTCTCCTTAAAGATTATGGAACACATACAGTAAGTCATTGTCTCATATGTTTGAAGTCTGAGTTTGCAATCTAAATGTCCAGATTATACACATTTGATCACAGTGACTGTGTCTCTTACCATCTGTAATTATAATTTCTTTCTAGAGCAGTTATAGACTTCATCTATTTAAGACATTTTATTAGGGTGAATGAATCTTAATTGTATTAATTCTTTTTTTTCCTTAATCTTCTTAACTTATTTTATGCAACTGTTTGCATATATATTAGTAAGACTTTGGATAGTCTTGGTTTATTAATATTTACCAACAATTTTCTGTATGGATATAGAAAGCCTCTAGTATGGTGCCCAACAAGTCACTTCATGTTAATTTTTTTTTTCTTTCTGGGAACAATGAGAAAGAGTATTTCCTTTTATACAAAGACTGTTTGACATTTTAACTTGGGAAATTGACACCTTGTCACCACCCCCACCACCCAACTGCTGCATGTCAGTGGAGCACTGGCTCTGGCTGTTGTAGAAGGTTAATCAGGTTAGGGACATTAATAGATTTTCTTCAACATGATAATCTTTGAGAGCCAGCAAAATGCTATAAAGTATCTGTCATCAATATTACTACCACTAAATGTTTAAATAGCACCTCAGAGGTTACAAAGTTCATAATCAATCTTCACAACAGCTCAGAAAGATGTCTTTTAATATCCATGATTTATAACTGAAGAGGCTGAAGTATGGTTTTTTTTTTTTTTTGGTATACATCTTACTTAAGAGCAGAGTTACTACCCCGAAACTCAAAAAAAAGTCTTGAGTAGTTTTTTTTAACATCAAAGTGAAAATATGAAATCTGAGCACATTCCAAGAAAAATTTAGAACTGTGAGATAGTGCCAATCATTGTTTCATTAAATTATTAGTGATTTCATACCAAGGATGATGAGCCCAGATAATAAGTTCCCAATGTGATCTGGGGCCCCATGCCCTTTCAGGAGACTCACATACTATCTTATCATCCTCATACCATACACCCCCCATTGCAGGAGTGTGTGGGTGTGTGTGTTTGTGTTGAGGAGTTTGGGGATGGGGAAGGTGGTAAATGAGTGAAAGCACTTTATTAGTTACTGAGAGGGTTTCAAAGGTGAATCAGATCCCCTCACCCCATAGTCTAGATAAAGTCATTGGAGCTGAAGAACAGACTCAGTTCATGGGAGGAAGAGGAACCAGGAAGAACATTTCATAACCATGGACCCAGGGGAGGTCTTGGGGAAATGGGATACAGGAAGTCCAATTTGGCTGGGGCATATGATGTGTAAAAATAAATAGGAAGAGAAGGTTGGGGAGGGAGAGGAAGGTTAGGCTGGGGTAGGGAGTTTGGACATCATTCTCTGGGCACTTGGGAACCATTAATGGTTTTTTAATGGTTTAATGATGTGATGTTGGGCATGTACTTTTTATTACAGTAAGCTTTGCTATTTCTGTTTCCCATGCCTCTCATATCCATTCTGTAAACAACCCTGTCCTATTTACAGAATAAATCCTAGGCTTACCCTCTGTTGACAGTCTCTACTGCCACTAGGCTCACCCTGATCACTACCATTTCTCAACAGGGCTGCCATGGCAGCTTCTTTAGTGGCTTGCTGCTTTCACTCTGGCCCTGCCAACCAGTGCAAAATAAAATCTGTCAGTGTCGTGGTGTAAGCCCTGTATCATCTTTTCATCACACTTGGAGTAAAATCCAAACTCCTTGCTGAACCCACAAGGCCTTGTATAACCCTGCCTGACCTGGCCCTGCCTTTCTCACAGTCTACCCTCTCTTCGCCCCTCTCTCTTGACTCTCACTACTCTGGTATCCTTTGTATGTTCTGAACACCCAAGAACCTTCCCACCTCAGAGTCTGTGCATTTGTTTGGCTCATCTGCCTAGGTTGTTCTTTGCCCAGATCATCCCAGATTAGCTTTTTACCAAAAGATGCCTTCCTTGCCTCTGATGTAAAGTAATTCCTGCCCCAGTCACACCCTCTACCATTTGCCAGGACTCATTTTCTCCATAGCACACTTACTGTTGTGTGGATGGGTTTTTATTGACATGCAAGTGCATTACTTGACCCCCAACCTGCTCAACTAGATGTGAGCAGGGACTTCATTTTGTTCACTGCTGTATTGCCAGTACCTAGAAAAGTTGTGACACATAGTACATATTTATTGAATTAATAAATTTAGAGATTTGAAGAACTGGAGCAGTGAGTTCAGCATGATGAGAGTGTATGTTCAGAGCCTTCTCAGTGGAAGTAAAGGGGCAAAGGCAGGTGAAAGTGTGCAACCTTCTGAGGGAACTGGCAGGATCTGACATGGTTTGAAGTGTTGAGTCATTGCAAAGGGAAGAAGTAGAGACGTTTTAGCTCGAATGAGTTATGAGACACCAGGATTCTTTTGAATGCTCTCAGTCAACCATCTTCATTTCAGCCCTACCCTGTACCCCTGCCTTCAGAAGAACTTGAAGCCTCCAATTTCCAATTTTTGGGGGGTTTTATGAAAAAAAAAACTGAGTGGTTTCCTATAGGTGTCCCCTTACTCCAACCAACCTCACCCCTGCCATGGAAGCTTAGGTTTCAGCTTTCACAGGTCTGCTAGGTGAGCAACTGACTACTTGTCTATTTTCTTTCCATTTTCTAAAGGGTCAGTTTTCTTCTTGTTTTTTTCCTTGTCCTTATTTGGCCATGCTTTTTTTTTTTTTGTCTTTCCTCTCAGCTTAGTGGGATTTGAGGAAGGAGTAGACATAAATGCATACATTTAATTTACTAAATTTAATCAGAAGTGCCCTCCAAATCCAATTTGTTTTATTTTTACTAATTTCTTTTATAGTACTTGCATTAATTTAGCATTTGTTCTTCATGTTCTCACTTGCTAGGCCAGATATTTGAAGAAGATGTCCTTTGGGAAGAAAATTGAGGGGTTTTAAAATATAGTGTTCTGCCCTGGCTGGGTGCTTTGTTGGTTAGAGCATTGTTCCAACAGGCCAAGTTTGTGGGTTCGATCCCTGGTCAGGGTACATAAAGAATCAACCAATGAATGCAACACAAGTAGAGCAACAAATCCATGTATCTCTCTCTCTTTCTTTAAACACCAGTACAAATTTTTTAAATGTAGTGTTCTTGAAATGTTCATAGTGCTTCAGTGTGTGAGATTTCACAGAGGCCCAGTCATTTCTAACCTCTAGACTCTGATAACAGAAATATAGTTCCACCCTTATTTGTGTAAACCATCAGGAGCATTTTAATATGTTTGTAATAAAGTTTGTAGCTTATTGTTTAAAATTGAATTTAAGGTAGTAAATCAAAGCTTTTGGTGACGTGCCCCTGACAGCAGGGAGAGCCTGGTAAGTGATCCTTAGGAGCTGATCAAAGAGAGTTGCCAAGCATTTTTTCCTGTATTTGTGTTTGGTCCTTTAATCTGGTAGTGTTTCCATTTCCATTCTGAATACAGTAATGCACACTCCACCCCCACTCAAGTCTTCTTGGCAGCATGTGGCACTGTCTTTGCCAAATGACCCCTGTTCAGACATCAGCCTGCCTTTGCTATCTAGCGTATACAAGGTGGAGACAATGGTGATTGTCAGGAAATGGGCATTGATCAAAATCTTATTCATACCACATTTTTGTTCTAGTTATCAAATGAAAATTGAAAATGAAAATAGTAAAGTTTACTGAGAAGTGATTACTAGTCATTTCTGCCTAGGTTCACCTTTCCTGGCCAGTGAAGATGGTGTGCTTGGAGGAGTGATTGTTCTCCGGTCTTGCAGATGTTCTGCAGAGCCTGGCTCCTCCCAAAATAAGCAGACACTTCTAGGTAAGCTGGACATAAACACTATGTGTGTGTCTTTCTCTTTCATTTTTTTAAGACATGGAAAGATTTCTATCCTTAAGTCAATAAGCTATGGGAGGGCCAGGATACTCTGTTGACATGTAATCTTCTCTTTCTACTGATCTTTTTGCAGAGATAAACATCTAAAAGATGAATGTTTACTTCTGAGTCTATGCTTAGAGCATATTTTTAAAATGGGCTTGGAACCAAGGACCTTCACTAAAGCCCAATATTAAGAATATTGGACCATGTATTTATCCCCTGCTTTATTCTACAAAACATTTGAGATGACCCATAACAATATACACAGTAACACAGAAAGCTTCCTCCTGTTCTCCCTCCCAAAAAGGAATCAGAACCACGTGAAGAGCTGCTGGTCTAGAAATCCATCCTGGCTCCATCACTTATTGGCTGTGACACCCTCATGTGTCACTGTTCTGTGTCACTTCCACATCTGTAAAATAAGGATATATGCCATGTCCTTCTAATAAAGCTGTGGTGAGAGAGGGTCAAATGAGCATTTTTCAGATTTGCAGATGTTCATCCAGATGTGTGATAAAACCCAGCCTGCCCTCCACTTGCCATGGCCCAAACTTGTAGAGCTACCTCTACCCATGGTTTGCCTGTTTCTAATTCATTCATCCAGAGGGGCATTTTTATTTATTATTATTTTACTTTTTTAAAAGATTTATTTATTAGACAGATGAGAAGGGAGGGAGAAAAAAGAGGGAGAGAAACATTGATGTGAGAGAGAAACATCTATCTTGTACACACCCCAACCAGGACCAAACCTGCAACCCAGGCATGTGCCCTGTCTGAGAATTGAACCAGTGACCTTTCACTCTGAAGAACAATGCCCAACCGACTGGGCTACACAGGTCATGGCCAGAGGGGACATTTAAAAAAATCTGCATAAAGATGCCACATAAAGTAGTAGAGAGCCCTATATGTTATTTTTTAATTGACTTTTTAATTGAGGTATACAAACATTCAGAAAAGTGCACAAATCATAACTGCAACTTCTTGACAAATTATGACAAAGTGAACCCACCCATGTAACCAGTCCCCAGGTAAAAAATAGAACTTTACTATAACCTCAAAAGACCACTTATAACACCTCCCTGTCTCTACCCCCTCCAAAGTTAACCGCTATGCTGACTTCTACATACTATGATTAATTTTGCTTCGTTTATATTTTATTTAAATGGAATCGGAGAATATGTACTATTTATGTCTGATGTGTTCAGTCAGCCTTAAGCCTGTTAAATTCATCCATGTTCTATGTGTTAGTAGTTCTTTTCTCTTGTTGTATAGTATTTCCTTGTGTGGATATACCAATGTGTATTTATCCATTCTTCTCTAAGTATTTTTTCATATAAACAGGTGATTAACAGGAGCTGTGGTAGTTAACCTCTTTGTATAAATTTCCTTATAGGAAGTGTGGGTGGTACCTGATCTGTATTGTATGATTGTTATGAATTGCTGTAATAAAGTTTCTTTATAACTTGAGGATCTGAGTATAAAATAGAAGACTGGGCATATCTCATGAGCATAAAATTTTTTTTCTGTAGAAGCCTGGAGAGCTTTCATAGAATCTCTCCCATCATTCCTCAAAGGAAAAAAAAAAAAGCACTTTTGTGTAAAGCAGGGGTATCACACTCATTTTTACCAGGGGCCACATCAGCCTCACGGTTGCCTTCAAAGGGCCAAATGTAATTTTAGGACTGTATAAATGTAATTACTCCTTAACAGTTAAGTGAGAGCTCGGTGCTGCTCCCGGGTAGATGCAAGGTGCAGGGCCTGAATAAAACATTGTAGAGGGCCAGATTTGGCCTGTGGGCCTTGTGTTTGCCACCTGTGGTGTAAAGTGTCTCTTTCTTCACGAGGTTTCTGACCACCAGCCTTATCATTTTTCTTGTGGTATTCTCTATCTCTTGCTACCCATTATACTTGGTACTGACGTTGCTCCCAGGAATTTTTTTTGAAATGGCCACTTTTTGTTAAACCAAGGCACATTAGCCATTTGCTTATTTGGTATTTTAATCATTGTTGAATTCTTTAAATATCTTTCCCAGTTAGAAAGTAGGGAGTTTGCTTTTAAGTACCTGGGCCTTCCAAAAGAATTCAGAATAATGCTTAGTACCAACAGGTGGGAGGACAGTTTTAAAACTGCTTCAGGGACTGTTCCTAGGACAGAGAATTGGTTTTTTAATGAGCATGGACTCGTCCATTTGAGTTAATCATGAAAGTTATAAGGTATTTTTGGTGGTATAGTATAGAGATATATATATTTAAGGATAAGTCATAGAATTTTAGCTTATGTTAAGTAAGTTTTATCAGCAAGGTAGTAATTTGTAAACTGGTTTTTACTCTCTGTCTCAAGAAGAAGAATGAAATGTGTCTATTTATGAACTAAGTGAAATATCATCATTTGATAAAGTGAACAGGAGGGATTGATGTTTGTGAGGTTTATCTACTAAAATCTAATGAATACTAGTATCAACTTGTAGATGCTACAAACTACATGGATTTTTATATTTTTTGCTTTAAAAAGTTATATATGTTCAGTATGTAGTATGAAAGCAAACACAGTGCAGAAATATAGGAAGGGAGACATGAAAGTCACCTTTGGTCACCCCCTTTTCCAGAGCCACCACCCTCTGGTTCTGGTTATTCTCCTAGTAAATATTTTCACTCTATAGAATGTGTTCATGCTTCTCTTTCTGGATTAGTCAGTAACATATGATTCCTTTTGGGCAAAAAATTAAGAGTATAGTTCACATCACAATGTCTGACTTCAGCTTTTTCTGTGTCTACTCTCTTTTCTGAAAAATCATAGTGTTTTCATCACACAACGAAAGTAGTTTCAATAAAATGGCATTGCCACTTAGTATTGTCCAGAAAGACAGTATGAGCCACTCCTCTTGATACAGACATCAATTACAAGAGTCCCAGTGGGCCCCGTCAAGGGTGGGATGACTGAAATATAGGCACTTTCAGGATTTGTTTTCCTTTACTGGTTCATGAATAGAGTTAGAGAATCTCAGGTATGAAGAAAACCCCAAAGTCCTCTTATGTGACCTTATTACATATGTTTTGCCCATAAGCTGTTGGCAAGAAGTGAAGCTTAATTCCTCTTCTCTTGAGATTCCCTTCCAATGCATAAAAACATGGCAAAGTGACAGTGTGTGATTTGTGAGGTGAGGTCAAAAAACACATTGTGTCTTCTCTGAGGCATCTTGCTCTCTCTGCTGGATCCCTTACTCTGGGAAAGGCCAACAGTCATTTCGTGAGGACACTCAAGCCGCACATGACAAAAAACCGTGAGTTCCTTCCAACAGCCAGTGAGGCATGGAGGTTGAGTGAGCCTTCAGCACTGAGTGAGCCTCAGCTCTGAGTGAGCTTTCAGATGACTGCAGCCCTGGGCAGATTTCTTGATTGAAATCTTGTGAGAAACCCTGAGCAAGAACCATCCAACAAAGCCACTCCTTAATTCCTCACTCACAGAAACTGATATAAACGTTTGCTGTTTTAAACTACTATATTTTGTTGTAATTTATGCTGCAATAGATAACTAAGAAACCTTTTGAATCCTCTCACTGCCAAATGGCTCTCTAGTTTGTCCAACAATCCACAATGATAAGTCAAGGTGCTCTGTTGCATCTTTAGGCAACTCAGACAGTCAGGTTTCAGTTTGCATTACTGGATGCTGGTTCTCTTTGGATCCTTTGGGACAAATGTGATCAGTGCCATCCACTTTGCGTGCCCTGACCACTCTTTCCCAAACTGTCTCCTTCCTACCTCTACTCATCTCCCACCTCCATGCTGTCACCAGACTTCTCTCTGTATGGGGAACTTAATTATGTCCTGCAAAAAAGGAAGTCAGGAGAGAAGCATACTGTCTTGAAGCAGAAAGGCCAAAAGGAGGGCCAAAAGGAGAACCTGACCCAATTATGACTTGAGAGCTACACTAGTTCTAGTATCAGAGGGATGACAATGGTCAAAACAAGAAGCATAAAAGCATATATACTTAGTTTGTCTGTATGTCTAAGTTAAATGTTGAATAACTTTCTATAAAAGCAAAATATATATCTCTTATCCTCATGCTCTTTACTTTTAATTCTTCAGTGAGAACACACATATACACACTCTCTCTCACATTTCTACCTCTGCTGCTCATTCCCCTACAAAATGGATAGGAACTACTTACCTTGATGGAAAATGCACTTCCCTCATATGACCCAAGAACATGCTTTCAGTATTGTTTCTGACTACTACTTCTTTTTTTCCACTCATCTTCAAAGCCCCAAATTCTGGCCATTCTGGATTGCTTGTCTTCTTCAAAAGGTTCATGCGTTTTCCCTAATAACTTTTTTAAAATACAATTTATTGGGATAACATTGGTTTACAAAACCATATGGGTATCAAGTATACAACTCAACAAAACATCTTCTGCACACTGCAATGTGCACTCATCACCCAAAGCAGAGTCTCTTTCTATCTCCATTTATACCCCCTTTGCTTACCTCCACCTACCTCCACCCACTTTCCCTCTGACTATCACCACATTGTTATCTGTGTCTGTGTGTTATATGTAAATTTTTTTTTGCTTAATCCCTTCACCTTCTTTCATTTAGCCCCACAATCCCTGTCTCCTCTGACAGCTGTTAGTCTGTTCTGTATCCATGCCTCTGTTTCTGTTTTGTTCATAAATTTATTTTGGTCATTAGATTCCATGTGTTAGTGAGATCATATAACATTTGTCTTTCTCTGATTGGCATATTTCACTTAGGATAATAATCTCCAGGCCCATCTAGCTGTCACAAAAGGAAAGATTTCCTTCTTTTTTAAGGTCAAGTAGTATTCCATTATATAAATGTACCACAGATTTTTCATCCGCTCATTTACTGATGGGTACCTAGACTGTTTCCAGATTATGGCTATTATAAATAATAATGCACTGAACATAAAGGTATATATATTCT